AGCAACCAGTCCCAACGTATATCGGTCCTCCATTTCCATCCATTCCGTGTAACTCCACCTTTTCATTATTTAGTATTCACATCCCAAAACCTTAAGAGTTAGTTAAAAGCAGAATCAATATATCAAAAATCCAGAATCAACATATGTTGTGTTTTCTGCGGTCTCTCTCTCTCCGGGACTTACATTCTTTCCTGGTCGCATCATGCTTCCATACAAATCATTCCTCGTAATGTTCTCAAAGCACTGCGGAAACTGCACGAAAGCAATCTCTTTGCCCTCTTTCTCATCAAGGAGGATGCAGAGTGCGTCGCGTGCTGACTTTGAGTTGTTTGAATACATATCACAGTCCAGGTTTAGTATGAATCTTCCACACGTGATCTTCGATGACACCCTTATCTGTCAGAGAAACAACAACAACCCTAATCAAAACAGTATCCTACAATTGGAGAATCATAATGCCTTGTCGAACAAGCAAAACGTTACCAATGCGTTCATGGATCCAGCCTTGAAGTTGTGATGATGCTGAGGTCTCTTCTCTCTCGATAGATACACCAATGTTGGTACTGTTACTCTTTTCTCCTTTCTTCCGTCTACCAAAATCTGACGAGACCAAACCCAAAAAAAAAGTAAAATTCAGTTGTTTCGATTGCTAAAAAAGCAATTACTTACTTGAAGAATGGTTCCATGGTTTCTGCGAGTAGCATCAGAGTCCCACTGGGAAAACCCGTCACCGTACTTCAAACGCGCCTCCTCGGGTATTCGTCGGAGTCTCGCAGCCGTTTCAATCCTCTCCGCCATTTCTCTATACAGCTGAGCAACTTCCTCTGCTGCAGAATTAAGACCAGTTGCCGTGGAAGACAAGTAAGCCGCCGGAGATCTCGGCTCAACGTTGAATTTCTTACAGAACGGAACCCAAACTTTAGCAAACTCAGCTGCCTCCGCGAGAGCAAAGAACGTGAGCTCAGAGCCACCGTCATCAGAGAGATATACGGCGAGTTTCTCCGGTGGATAATCGAGAGCCGCAACAGATAAGACTGTGTTAACGACCATCAACGGTGGCTCAATCTCAGGATCCGCCGTGCAAACGAAAACGTCGAGCCTCGGAAGATGGTTACCATATCTCCGAGAGAGTCTACCGATGAAGGTGAGTCGCCAAACCGGATTCCACCGGAGAGCTTGTGTGAATACCCAATACAAACCGAACCAAATCTCCAAGACTAGCATAAATCCAACCAAACCGGTCCGGTTCTCATCAGTCTCCAACGGTACGGTCACTCTGTAGAACCAAATCCAACAGATACAAAAGAAAACCGAGGCAGAGAAAACCCGGAACGCTATCACTCTTCCGGTTTTCCTCCTGGTGACAGTAAGCGGTTCGCCTTCGTAACCCGGTCCAAACCGGTCGTCTTCTTTTCTCATATTCTTTTTTTCTCTGTTGTGTTGGCAATTGGTAATGGTAAAGATAAGAGAAGAAGCGTCTCTTGGTTGGTTGGTATATGACTATATGTAGAGAGATTAGAGATTTGTGGTTGTTGTAACTTTTGGACATTTTCATAAGACGTCATTAGAGCCGTCAGCAAGTATGTTCCTTTTTTCGGATAGCGTTGTCAATAATTAAGATGAGACAGCGAGACTATCAAAGAGACAAAGAGTGACAGCTTGATTGAAGATAATGTTTCTTAGACTATAGCAAATGGTTGGTGATTTTAATTAGTCAAAAGAGTAACAAAAAGTAAATTTCAGTTTCTTAGGGAGTGATGAATCAAATCAAGAAGCACCATGAACGCGTATCACTCAATGATATTGCCGAGATCTTGGTTTCGTTATTGGGGATAGTCATTATATATTGTACATAGTTTATGGCCATTATTTGAATGCATTGACTCTTTTGTTTTCCTTTTCTTACATAAATGCGATACAGGTACACGCTGATAAAGCAAAGACAACTGATTTAACTGTCACGCTCATTGGCATCTTCCCTTTGTCTTGCCTCAACAACATACCTTGGTACAAAGGCCAGTTTATAGCCACATTTAGTCCTGTTATCACAAACTGCAAACCCATTGTCTGAAAATCTCCACCGTCTCTGAAAGTCATCAGTCTCATAACTGCGGCGGCGAAGCAGAAGAGATTGAGCATCCCGAGTGTTCCCAGGAGGACAAACATCGGAGACTCCACTCCAAACTCCATTACCTCTTTCTCGTATCTCTCTGCTGCCTCTTCTTCTGCTACTTTCGCTGTGATCACAAACGCAGACTCCGATACCCCAAGTTTCTTCAGAATCGTGTCGATGAATCCGAAAATAAATGAGCTTGTTCTTCTATAAAGCCACATCCTTTGCTCATTCCACCATCCCCGGAACGTCCCTCCGCACCACAAGAACTCGGCTAGGCTATACGCATTCACTGCTACAGTCACGTATCCAAACGGGATAAACCACGAGCTCCAGACCTGGACTCAAACACCAGAAACGGTTTAATATCCAAAAAAGAAGAAAAACAGAGGAAAGCTGTTTATTATTACCTTTGGAAACAGAGGAATGCCTTTGAGGAGACAGAGACAAGTCAAAACAGAGTAAACAAGCAGAGGTACTGAACTTGGAGCCCAAAGGCAATAGCAACAATAACCAAGTATCAGTCCCAAACCGATCTTCCCTTGGCCATACCAAACCGGACTATACTCTGAGAGCAGAATCTGAAAGTCTCCTTCCGACCATCTCCTCTGCTGCACAAGCATCTGATGTAAATTGGTCGGTGCTACCCCAACAAAAGCTTTCTTCTTTGGGGTCAGGTACGCCGATTTCCATCCACGACACTGAATTGCTAAACCGGTTATTACATCCTCTACCGGGCAACCATATTTCAAACCCATCTGCCATTGAAACAAAACCCCCGGTTTACTTGCGGTACAAGAACCCATAGGCAGAATAATAAGTATTAAGTCTAGTGATCACAGCCTTACCTCTTTTCCCCATAAAGAGTTTTCATCATAAGTGCAGCTCGCGAGACCCTTAATCATCTCAGGCTCTGAAACTTCTTGAATTTCCTCGAATTCTTTTTCTTCCACTCCATAGTTTCTTCCACAGATGACATCTCTTCTGTGAAAGCAGCCAGTCCCAACGTATAACGGTCCGCCATTTCCATCAAGTCCATTAAACTCCACCTTTTTGCCACATCCCAACACACACAAAGATTAGTTAACACATATGTTGTGTTTTCTGCGGTCTCACTCCCTCTGACTATCAATAAAACTTACATCAGCTATTACTAGCATGGTGCTTCCATACAAATCATTCCTTGTAACGTTATTATAACACTGCGGAAACTGCACGAAAGCAATCTCTTTGCCCTCTTTCTCATCAAGGAGGATGCAGAGTGCGTCGCGTGCTGACTTTGAGTTGTTTGAATACATATCACAGTCCAGGTTTAGTATGAATTTCCCACACGTGATCTTTGATGACACCCTTATCTGTCACAGAAACAACAACAACCCTAATCAAAACGGTGTCCTACAATTGGAGAATCAGAATGCCTTGTGGAACAAGCAACCGTTACCAATGCGTTCATGGATCCAGCCTTGAAGTTGTGATGATGCTGAGGTCTCTTCTCTCTCGATAGATACACCAATGTTGGTACTGTCACTGTTTTATCTTTTCTTCCGTCTACCAAAATCTGATGAGACCAAACAAAAACAAGTCAAATTCAGTTGTTTCGATTGCTGCAACTACAGAACTATAACATAGCTAAAAAGCTATTACTTACTTGAAGAATGGTTCCATGGTTTCTTTGAGTAGCGTCAGAATCCCACTGCGAAAACCCATCACCGTACTTCAACCGCGCCTCTTCTGGTACTCGCCTGAGTTTCGTCGCCGTTTCAATCCTTGCCGCCATTTCTCTATACAGCTCAGCCACCTCCGCAGCAGCAGCAGCAGAGTCCAGACCGTTTGCCTTGGAAGACAAGTAAGCCGCAGGAGATCTCGGCTCAACGTTGAATTTCTTACAGAACGGAACCCAAACTTTAGCAAACTCAGCTGCCTCCGCGAGAGCAAAGAACGTGAGCTCAGAGCCACCGTCATCAGAGAGATATACGGCGAGTTTCTCCGGTGGATAATCGAGAGCCGCAACAGATAAGACTGTGTTAACGACCATCAACGGTGGCTCAATCTCAGGATCCGCCGTGCAAACGAAAACGTCGAGCCTCGGAAGATGGTTACCATATCTCCGAGAGAGTCTACCGATGAAGGTGAGTCGCCAAACCGGATTCCACCGGAGAGCTTGTGTGAATACCCAATACAAACCGAACCAAATCTCCAAGACTAGCATAAATCCAACCAAACCGGTCCGGTTCTCATCAGTCTCCAACGGTACGGTCACTCTGTAGAACCAAATCCAACAGATACAAAAGAAAACCGAGGCAGAGAAAACCCGGAACGCTATCACTCTTCCGGTTTTCCTCCTGGTGACAGTAAGCGGTTCGCCTTCGTAACCCGGTCCAAACCGGTCGTCTTCTTTTCTCATATTCTTTTTTTCTCTGTTGTGTTGGCAATTGGTAATGGTAAAGATAAGAGAAGAAGCGTCTCTTGGTTGGTTGGTATATGACTATATGTAGAGAGATTAGAGATTTGTGGTTGTTGTAACTTTTGGACATTTTCATAAGACGTCATTAGAGCCGTCAGCAAGTATGTTCCTTTTTTCGGATAGCGTTGTCAATAATTAAGATGAGACAGCGAGACTATCAAAGAGACAAAGAGTGACAGCTTGATTGAAGATAATGTTTCTTAGACTATAGCAAATGGTTGGTGATTTTAATTAGTCAAAAGAGTAACAAAAAGTAAATTTCAGTTTCTTAGGGAGTGATGAATCAAATCAAGAAGCACCATGAACGCGTATCACTCAATGATATTGCCGAGATCTTGGTTTCGTTATTGGGGATAGTCATTATATATTGTACATAGTTTATGGCCATTATTTGAATGCATTGACTCTTTTGTTTTCCTTTTCTTACATAAATGCGATACAGGTACACGCTGATAAAGCAAAGACAACTGATTTAACTGTCACGCTCATTGGCATCTTCCCTTTGTCTTGCCTCAACAACATACCTTGGTACAAAGGCCAGTTTATAGCCACATTTAGTCCTGTTATCACAAACTGCAAACCCATTGTCTGAAAATCTCCACCGTCTCTGAAAGTCATCAGTCTCATAACTGCGGCGGCGAAGCAGAAGAGATTGAGCATCCCGAGTGTTCCCAGGAGGACAAACATCGGAGACTCCACTCCAAACTCCATTAC